GCCTTGGCACGTTTAAGATGTGCGGACTTCAACTCCCAGAATTCTGGACTTCAGCTCCCAGAATTCCCCAGCCAGCTTGCTGGGAGCCGAAGTCCAGAATTCTGGGAGTTGAAGTCCGCACATCTTAAACGTGCCAAGGCTGAGAAACGCTAGATTTTACAACGGCTGGCCTTGTTTATTCGATTATCTTCCTACTTTGTTATTTTATGTTTCCATTCCAGATGCTGGCTGGTTTTTTTAAGTTCCTTTGTTTTATTCTTCTTCTATCCAACCGCAAGCCCTCCAGAGTGGCTTTTGGAAATCAGAAGACCATAAATATTCAATCAATCAATCGATCAATTTTATTTCGGTCATAGACCAGCGTATGACCATAAATATTCCTTTATTCAAAGGAATAAAGAGCCAAATGACCAAACGGCCTACTTAAGCCATTATCCAGTAAACCATTTCTGCCAGAAAGCCAGCCAACTTCCGTTGGACGATCTCTAGTGGACAAGAACATGTGGCAGGTTGTTCCACTCATACAGACTGAAGGATCCTAACCCTTCAGGTGCAGTTTACCTGCGTGGCGCAGATCACGGGTTTCCCCGCACGGTTGCAACGGCCGATCATCATCTTCTGAGCCAGAAAAACCTTCTCCGCGGGGATTTCGATCCCCAGGTCACCGCGAGCCACCATGATGCCGTCACTGGCTTCCAGGATCTCATCAAACCTCAAGGCGAGAACAAAAGTTACAGCCCAGCCCAGCCCAGCCTGCTGACTTGGTGACAGGAGGAAGGTTACCCTGCAAGGAGAAATCTAGCCTCTCTAGAATTAGACCAGACGAAGAATTAAGCCAGGCTTCCAGGCTTTGGACAATTAATCCCATCAGCTCCATCTGGTGGGGTCAGTGGCAAGTGGTTTTGGGAGTTGTAGTCCAAAGTATCCAGTCTTAGATTAAATTCTATGGGCTAGGCTAGATTTTGGGGCTGTTTTACACTGAGAGCCACATGTTCTCTGTGAATGTTATGCCAGGGGTTACACTCCCAAAAGTTGGAAGAGGAGGGACAAAAATGAACAAAAACTTCAACTGGATTGAATTTAATTAAAATTAAAATTCAGTGCAGTCCACGTGGCACCTGCTTAACAATCCCCCTCTTTTTTTCTGGAATAGGAAACATTACAAAAGGAAGGTTGGAGCGAGGGGAGAAGTTGCCCTTAATTTGGGGGGTAACGGCAAGTTGTACAATCCTGATATATAAGCAAATTGCTTCTTAGTTAGACCGTCGATGGATCAAGGCAATTATGACAATTCGTCGATCAGCCATGTTTTTCAACCTTGGCCGTTTTAGGAGGTGTGGACTTCAACTCCCAGAATTCGCCAGCTGACTGCGGAATTCTGGGAGTTGAAGTCCACATGCCCAAAGTTGCCATGGTTGAAAAACACTGCATTACAGGGTCGCCATATCTGGCCTGCAGTACTCTCAATCAACACTAGGGGGGTAAGAAATAATTTGTGTTCCTTTGCTGCCCTCTAGTGGATGTGTGATGTTCTGCAGCCTGGACTTAGCCTTATAGATGGATTCCGAGGGTCTTAAAAGCAAGGCTCTTTTCGAGCCGCAATGCCCTTCGGTGACGGTTCTCCATAAAAGAGGGTTGAGGAAGGTTCAACCTCTGAGCCTAGCAAACTGCTCTTGCTACGCATCGTGATGGTCCCAGCATGGATGTGTCAGGAAGGATCCATCTGGAAAAGGATAAGGCAGGCCGAGAAGAGAGACGCCCGTGTTTCTTTCTCATTTGGTAAAAGACCTGTAACGGTATGTGGGAATGACCTCGGGAGGCAGGAGGAAGAGCTGCAGACTAGGCAACGGTTAGATAAGCGTCAGCTGAGCCTACAGAAGGAATGGGGGTGTGGTAAACGTCTCAGAAGGGACCCTCCCTAGTTTCTTGGGCTGTAAAGGTGGGGAGGGAGATAGACTTTCAGATTTGCAAGCTTCTGTTACTGTCACCGTACAATAAAGTAGAATGAGTTCATCTGGGCGTGCTTCCTGTCTGGACTACCTCGCAAGGCTGACAGGACCCAAATCAGACCCCAAAGAAGCATCTGAAGACTACCTTTTGACCCCCTCGTGGTTTTCGATTTTGCTGATGATTTTGATGTTGCGGCCGCGCTCCCCCAGCACCTGCCGGATCGCGGCCACGTCGCCGGCCTTGCGGATGAAGGAGGCGAACACGATGTCAACCCCCTGCTCCACGCCAAACTCCAGGTCCCGTTTGTCCTGCTGCGACAGCGCCGGCAGGTCCACTTTAGCCCCCGGCAAGTTGACTCCCTTCCGGCTACAGAGCATCCCGCCGTTCTCCACCTCGACGACACAACTATTGGGGCCTAGCGGTTTGTACACAGACCAGGGTGGGGTGGGGGACACAAGATGGAGAATCAAGATTTCGACTGGCGAGGATAGATGTCTTTTTGGATGTCACTCCCCCAAAAGATCCATTTGGAGGCCCCATATTTCCCTGGGATTGCACAGCTAGACATGAGCCCCCAGGAAAAGATGCTGTTTCTTTAAGACGGTGCAAACAGTGCGGCGCGTGTGGCTAAATCCATCACAAGTTCAGGCAGCAAAGCAGGCCAAACCGTGGCAAGCTCCGCCCCATGACCTCACCAAGCCCCTCCTTTATATGGCTGTGTTGCGACACCGCGGCAAGGCGGGGCTTTGCATAATGAGGTCACTCCACACGGTCAAGTGCCCCAAAAGCGCCTCTTGCTCCTTGCTTGCCGACGAAAAACAGGGCAGCCAGCCCAGCCGGCTTGTTTTCTGCTGGTAATTGTTAATATTGGCCAAGAGCGGGCCTGTTTTTTGCCGGCAAGCGATAACGAAAGCGAATCCCGAAAAAGAATATCCTGGGAATCAAGTTACCTCCACTGGCTTCAACTGGCAAATGTGTGGATTCTGATAGCAAAGTGTAGGGAATATTTATTCAGGATAGCAAATTTATAGGATGTTGTTCAGAATATGGGACTCCCTGACGGTCTAAGGAGAGGAAGAGATCCTTCACGCAGAGGTGGGCAGGATGGGGTGGGCGAGAGATCCAGCCTAAAATGGGAAAACACTTACGGAGTTCCTTGACCAGTAAGGAGATGAGCCCATCGTCAATGAAGATCCGCCCGCCAACGTTAACCACTTTAGGTAAATTGGCGTAATCCATCCAAATAGTGTGCGAATCACATTTCTCCCGGAACGCCGGATCGGTGGTCACAATCAAGTGGGATCCTTTAACCAGTTCTACTTCTTTGTCCTCACCCTGGAGAAAGATCACGAGCCAAATGCAAGGAAGCGTTATTCCCCTCAATACAGGTAGTCCTTGCTTAACAACACTAACTGGGACCAGAAACTGTCGTTAAGCAATGCAGTCATAAATCGAAAAACCACATGACCGTGCTGCTTAGCATTGGTCGTTCTGGCAGTCCCGGCGGCCATCATTAAGTGAGGACCATGTGGGTTGTTAAACGAGGGCCTCACATGACCACGACTTGCAACTTCCTGCCAGCTTCCCCATTGACTTTGCTTGTCGGAAGCAGGTAGGGAAGATTGCAAATCGTGATCACGTGACCGCAGGATCCTGCGACAGCTGGAAGTGTGAGGACCGGTCATAACTACCACTCATTCAGCGCTGTCGTAAGTTTGAATCGTTGCTGAACAAGTGGTCGTTGAACGAGGACCTGTATTTTATTGGCTATTGAGTCATTGCTTCAATCGAGGTGAGCTGCATGGACACATTTCACGGATCACAAACATCTGCTTGATTTGCAGATTTTTTGTTTTACGTTTAAATATAACAAATCTGCTGAATTCACCCAGTGCCCAACTAGATAAAGCATTTTTTTCTTCCGGTTCTCTTGTTTTCAGTGAAGCTCCAAGGTAGAACTGTTGGAAGAACTGATAGAAACAGATGTGACTGGTTGGCAAAGATTTCTTTAACGGGGGAGAAGTTTCAGATTTATCCCTGGTACAGATCTTACCCCTTTAATCAAACCCGTCCGGATTTCAGGACCTTTGGTGTCCAGAGCGATGGCCACGGGCCGGTAGAAGAGAGGATTAGTGGCAAAGCTCTGGGTCGCTTCCCGGATATTTGCAATGGACTTTGCGTGGTACTGAAATGGAACGAAATTGAATCCAAGTTAGGAAGGGTCTGCACCCCTGAGTCCAGCTCCCTGCCTCCACTCCGCTACCAGCTTGCAAAGCAGTTGCTTTCGAGAAAGGTGCAAGCGATCGAAAAGCGAGCTGTGCATTCTCTCTCTGCCAGCCTTGCGAGGTAGTCCAGCCAAGAAGCACACCCAGAAGGACTAGCTCTACTTTCTCATAAGGTGACATCAACAGAATCGTGCAAGTCTGGAAGCCCATCTCTCCCCTCCCCGACTTTACACCCCAAGAAACTAGGGAGGGTCCCTTCTGAGATGTTTGCCACGCCCCCATTCCTTCTGCAGGCTCAGCTGCTGTTTATCCAACCATTGCCCTAGCTGAAGCTCTTCCCCCTGTCTCCCGAGGTCATCCCCACAGACCGTTGACCCTCTCTGAGTAAAATAAATGAAAGGGCCCTTAGTTGGGCTAGTTCCACAGTGGTGGGCATTTTAGAGATAGACTGCTCCTGGACATGGGGGCTCTGCTCCCGATTACTGGGGTTAGCGGCAGAAGAAGAACCACCACCAAGCCCTGCCTAATCCAGAGGGGAGCAGCAGATGCTCTCAGGCAAGATTGGGACGCAGAAACTCTCCTCCTTTGGCCTCGAAAGGTTATAGGCGGGGTGTAAATCCGATTGGGTTTTTTGCATTGTTGGGGGTTTGGCCTTCCCTGTCCCTCTGCTGGTCCTCAAAGGGCCCTGATTCCCCCCCCCCGGCTTTGGAAAGTGATGCCTCCCCCCCTTCCTCCCCTCTCCCCTTCCCTCCTTGGCACCTCGTGCGATCCATGCGAGAAGTTCAACCGTGCGATATTCATGCCGGCTTTGATCATTTCACGCAGCATCTGCACCGACTGCGAAGCGGGACCTGTAACGGGGGGAAAAGTGCGTTCTGGGGGCCTCCTCAGGGTCCCCTGCAAGGGGCAGAAGCAAATCCTCCAGGACGAGGCCCCAAAATTCAGTGGCATTTTTTTTCTCTCTCGGTTGATTTTGCCCAAAGTGGCTTCCTTGCAAAATTGGGCAGGGATCGAGGGATGGACGTGTGTGACCCTGTCCTTCACTGCCCATCCTGCCCCCCTTCCATTCCTCCCCCCTTCCCATAATGCACCCCGCATCAAAGCGATGCCTCACCAATGGTGCAGACGATACTGGTGCTCCGGGCGGTGATGGGCTCCGAGTCGATGTCCAGCAGGCAGAGGTGCTCCAAAAATGTGTCAGCCATGGAGGCGGGGAGCTGCTGGCGTTGGAAGAACGCCGTGCCCAGCTCCTGGGTGAGGGCAGCCATGTTGTGGGGCTGGTTCCCGGCACCTGCTGGCGGGGAAGCAAAAGACGGAGCCAGGCTCGCTTACCGAGCAACCCACTAATTAGGGCCAGGCCTCCTACTCAGTGCACAAGATCCTCCTTTCCATTCCACCCTCAGAAGCCATCGAAATGCCCGCCAACCCCTTTCCCCAGGCCCGGCTTGTGACACACCGTCCATCTTGCTCCTCCTGCCTTCCAAAGCTTTTTCCAGATTGCGCCTGGAAGTTCACCCTGACTCTCCTGGTTAAACAGTGACCAGCTAAGACCCAAGTTCACAGCCGCCGCGGCTCCAAGCCGGCCCCTCGCAAAAGAGCCTTTATTCCCCAGTTGCCCAGTCATGCTTATCCGAACAGTTGGCTTCCTCTGGCGGGCAGGGGCATTTCTCCTTTCCTCCTGCAGCACCAGGCAGCAGACACTGCGGGGGGTTCCCTCTCCCCCTTTTATCCTCACCAGGACCCTCTGAGGTAGGCCAGCCCACAGGGAACGCCTGGGGGGGTGCAACTTTCCTGATCCCTTCCTTTGATTTCCACGGGGAAGGAAAGGAAGAAAAATCTGGAGAAGGGAAGGGAATGGGGTGCAAAGGGGAAGAAACGAAAGGCGCAGGAAGAACAGGACAGGAAAAAGGAAAGGAAAGCAAGAGGTTATAATTTAGCAGAAGGGGCGGGGAGGGGGAAAGAAAGAAAGAAAGAAAGA